CCAAAAGTCTTTCCATTCTGCTTTTCAGAGTATCTTTCTCTTCCATCACGTCTAGCGGTGTGATGGAGACTGCCGCTGGATGCATTCATCGGTCATAAGCAGTTTGTGGCTTTTCCGTGATGAGAACGAGAGAGGGATCCCAAGCAGGTCTACTCAGAACCCTACTCAGGTCTGGTCAATGGGGGCCCACTCCCAGGACAGGGCTCTTGGGACAGCACTGCGCGCCAGGAAGGGCTCAGGGGCTCCCTCCTCCCTCACCGTGTGCACAGCCCAAAGAATCCAAGCCTCCTGGCTTCAGCCAAAGACAATGTGTTATGATGTCCCCAAGCCGGGGAAGAAAAACAAAAGTTGTAGTTTGTTCTCTTGCCTACAGACCAGGATGCGATTTGGGGTCCTGTTCTCCAGGCAACAGAACAAGCCCCAAGTTTGTTGTTTCACCTGGTTGGGCATCACCACCAACTGCAGCTCACTCCATACCAAAAATCTTAATTCTTGAGGTTCCATGTGTAGGAAGGAAGGGGTGGCAGGGGGCACACACTCCCCACGATGCCCTCAGTCACAACTGGACCAAGCTTTGTTCCCGACCTCCGAGTCCAATCACTGCTGCGCAAAGGACAGAGAATTTCACCTGGACTCTCCTTGGCCCCGGCCCTCACTAGCCGACTTTGACCCAGCACTCTCTCACTCTCAGATTAGCCTACCTCAGTGGGTTGTTGTGAGAGTAACATGAGGAGAACTGCCATGCTCCTAAGCTCCGGAAGAGACAAGAGGGATACATAAAAAATACAATGGATTATAGTTGAGCGCCTACCTGAACAGTGGAGCATCGCAACAGACGCAGTGGTACATCCCAGGCTCCGTGTTAGACAGATACATCCCACTAAAAGGCTTCAAACATGTACATTAAGGTTCTAATCCAAAAGCCAGTCACCTCTTCAAAGTTACCTTGCAATGCTGAGCTTCAGCCAGGATTTCTGTGGCAGCTGGGTGGGCGTGCATTCAAGCTGCCAGCTCTACATGGCACCCTGCGGCTGTGTTCCACTCCCACCTTATACGCCTTCTGAACTATGGGGTCAGGCATGGTGCTTTCTCACCGTAATACTGCTTTGTATTGTTTGTGTTTAAAAACTGGTTAAAAGATTATTGGCAGTAAGTCCGGGACAGACAAAAATAGAAAATAGAGAACAGAAAGGAAACTTGCAAAGCTGCCTTTAACTGAATCGGCCAGTCAGGTATTTTCTTTTATTCTGAGCAGCGGTAGCTGCCCAAGATCTCGGCAGCTGCCCAGACATCTTTCCTAGTCCTGCGAGTTTAAACCGGAGATGCTCGGGACTGTGTCCTGAGACACTGAAGGGAGGGGGGTCTGCACCTGTAAAGGCAGGGGTGGACAAGAGCCAATCTGGATTGGGGCCTCACAGCAATTTTTAAAGAACTACAGCAGGTACTAAAATGGCACTGGTGGCCATGGGATAGACCCATGACCATTGTCACATGTAGTCTAGCGCTCCTGGCATGCAAACATACACTTTGCTGCTGAGCCAGGGGCCCTTCCTACACTTGCTGTGTCAGGACTTGAACTCCTTTCTCCTGTTTCTCATCTCAGTTCTTCTTCCCACTGTCCTCTTGGAGCAGTTAGTACCGGGGAGGTCAGGTCTTCACACATTTATGCAATTTACCATCATAGAGTGGCTTACAATGGATACGATGTTCATAAAAGACAGGTATAGCAGTGGCTACTACCATGCTAACTAAAGCTTTGGGCGATGATTTGCTTAACATAATAGTCAAGCATGGTCTCTTCCTCCTTGCTGATATTAATGAGAGCAAAAAAGGAGTCTACAACCTATCTGGAGAATACCTAGATCAGAGACAAGCAAATCATATCCTGGAGGCCCCATCTGGCCCACAGGAGCTTTTCATTGGACTCTTAAGCTGCTCAACAGTCTCTCAGGAACACTGGGCCACAAGACTAAGGCTCCAGCGAGTGGGTTCACATGCCTGAAAAATACTCAGATGGCTCAAGGACCAAGTGCCACTAAGCCCAGCCGAGCAAGAGAGGAAGAGGAAGAAAGAGGAAGAAAGAGGAAGAAAGAGGAAGAAAGAGGAAGAAAGAGGAAGAAAGAGGAAGAAAGAGGAAGA